GTCACATCTGGGGTAATTACGTCATCAGTCATGTGACTATTGCAGAATTAGGTTTTTTTGTTGCTGTGACAAGATTTCATTATCGAGTTGAAAACAAATAGTATATTTGAGGATTTGGTTGTGTTGGGCAGTTGACTTCCGGCATTTAAAATTTAAGTTGGCAACGAAGATGAGCGAAAAAGACGGGAGACTAGGCCGAAGGCTGTAGAGAGTCGACATTTCATCACCAGCAACTGAGCGAGTAATGTTCTTCCTGGTGTCATCAGTCGCATGACCAGAAAGGTTTGAAAAATTAGTTCGTGTTTAAAGGACATTTTTGTCATAACTTGTCAGGTTTCTGAAGTTTTTCTCTACAAATCTTTACACTCTATTACCCCTGAGAAATCATACCTGAGCCAGAAGTTTAGAGGTTGCGTAAATTGACCGATATTGCAAGATTAAATAGAAAAACAACAACAAAAACAACAAAATTTATAAACAAGCATGTAATATTACAGAAGCATTGTCCGCAGTTAGGCATGAATAGATTGTGCAAGTAAATCCAGCAAAAGTTGCTTGACAATACACCCAAAAGTTGCTCCAAAGTTGCTAAAAAATTTAAAAGTTGCTTTCTTTTGAGAGTCATTTTGTTATAGATTGCTACTCAAAACATGACGTTGTATGTGTAATTTAACATCACTTGTTGTGATTAATATAATCTTTAAGCTCAACGTAACTAATAATAGAAAGTATTTTCTAATGACGTTCCTAATGAGTAAACATCACAATGTTTGCTTAAGACATCATAGTGCTGACTATACACTTTAGACTGTGATCAAGTTTAACGCCTTTATCTTATCATGTTAAGATACAACAATGCAACGAGGTTGTAAACTTTAAATTTACAGCCCCTTTGCATTGTTGTATCTTATTATAACTGAAGCTTCAAGGTAGTCCTCTAGGGTATTGTCTTGTTGATCGTTAAACTTGTTGTTCACAAGGATGAAGACTCTCTCAGGAGCACTTATGTCCAGGATCGATCTTGTTATGCTGAACTTGGCTGGATGACCAACAACTTCTTTACTACACCTGCCCAATGTGGTAGAGTGTCACTGTGGGCTGCCCACCATGCCAGCTTTTCTCCTTCATTTGCCATGACAATACCATCAGCTGCAGCAATATAGACAGGTAGCTAGCAATAATATTGTCATTGTCACCACTGTTATTTTATAAATTATTTGTAAGAACTTACGACATCTTAGTTTTGACCAGTTTTAATAAAAACCTTTTATTAAAGAACTTTTTGATGGTTTGGTCAGTTTTTAACTATTTGTTGACTCAAAAGTTGCCAAGGAAGGCAAAAGTTGCTCTAGGTTGCCCGCAGTACAAAAAGTTGCTGAAAACGCTAAAAGTTGCTCACAAATTGTCGCGCACAATCTATTTATGCCTATCCGCAGTTAGCAAGGCTATTCCGGGCGGGACAATGCGTACAAAACATGAAATAAAGATTAAGGCTAACTAAGGAAAGTTTACAGTTTACAAATAAATTAATCGTAATATGGATGAGGACTAGATAACATAATAAAGAAGAAAGAATTAAACAAATAAATTGTAAAAAAGTAAAAGTGGAAACTAATAAGCAAGAATTTACTTTTTGACATTTTTGGTTAATTTTACTATTTTAATTAAGTTGGGCATATCAATATAGTCATCTTCTGAATTTAAAATACCAAAAGTAATTTGCAGAGTCTTTTTCTTAAACTTATTCTTGGGGAGATGTCGGATGTGACAGGGTATCTCGTTCCACAGTTTACCCCCAAAGCGAGAGAAAGACAGTTTATATAATTCTACATCGGAACTGTTAACTTAAAATTTTCCTGAAGCCGATGCTCTTGTATTGTAAGAGTGGCAGCTACTTTTTTTTGAAACAGATTTAGAATCAGCCAGAAGGTACCTTATTGTTATGGACGTCATGCATAAGATTAGATATAGTCTGATAATATGAAAAGTTCGAGGGTAAAACGTTGGCGTCGATGAAGAGAGGTATTGTGTGATCGTGTCTGTCCGAGAAGTTTATTATTGGAAGAGCTGTTTTTTGTAGCAATAGAATTTTGTTGAGATGTGTCTTTCCTGCTTGCCCCCAAGCAGCAAGTCCATATGTAATAGACGGATAAATAAGCGATTGATAAATTTAAGAAAAATTCCCTTGGTTTCAAAATGACGCAATTTCGTAAGTAAGCCAATCGTTTGCTGATTTTTAAAGAGACAGTTTTATTACGGTGTTTCCAGGTACGTTTGTAAGGTTTTTATCAATCAAAATGCCAAGAAAGTAAAGTAGCATCTCTAGTAGCATATTCTCGTTGTCAAATAAACATATTTACTTAGTTTTATAATTAGGCTTTTTTTCTGTTTAGGATGAAAGATTACAAAGTTGGATTTACTGATGTTAAGACTATGTTAACACAGTCGTAGAGTTTGCACAATTCAGTATTGACTTCTGCTTTAAGAACTCAAATTTTTTTCAGCAAAAAGTATATTGGCATCATCGGCTAAGAGATCTATTTTAGAAGAGCACTGGTGGATATCATTAACATACAGTAAAAGGAGAAGAGGACCTAAAACGGAACCTTGAGAAACTCCAAAGGTGATTGTGGCTTTATTTGATACATGATCAGCAATTTGAGTAGTTTGGGTGCGGTTATTGAGATCTGAGGAAAAAACATTGGTTGATTAATCCACGAAAGCCGTAGAAGTTGAGCTTATCTAGCAGAATGTTATGGTCGACGGTATCAAAAGCTTTTTTGAGGTCATTAAACGCACCGCAAGAGTATAGACCATGATTCATATTGGCCTGGATTGCATTAACGATGTCTAATGTAGCATGTTGAGTGGAATGTCCTTTGCGAAAGCGGTACTGGGAAAAGTTAGTGCTTCTCAATGTAATTCATCGATATCAAGAGTTCGTCCCATCATCGGATTTAAAACAGGCACAATTTTGGACAATTTCAATTTTACAGGGTATCTCGTTAGGCTGATTGAAATATTAAATAGTTCTGAAAGAACAGGGGCTATGGTGTGAATTGAACATTTTAGTAACTTTGTCGGAGAGGAGTACAAACAGAGTGATTTGTTAGGTAGAGATAATATTTCAGTTCATACAGATCATACGTTGTTGGTTGAAAAAAGAAAGATGGCAGTGGGGACGTCTTTTCGTTAACAAAGTCGAGATAATGTTGTTGGGAAGAAGGAGACTTTCTATTGAGAGTTTTGTAGAATCCTTATTCAACTAAACTATTTGTTTGCCGAATAAAAGTTCAACGTTTGTTAATAAAGGAGAACTTTAAAAGCCCTAAAGGATCTAGTTGGTCGCCATATCGTTTTTCTTCTTTCCCGGGATCGAGAGAAGTCATGTGGCAGCTCTTCTAACCCTGAAAGTCAAATGGTTTGCTACTCCTTACCTTAGAACAATGGAAATAATGATATTAAAACAATGTCATGTTAATGTTTTCTCCGAGGAATGAAAAAACACCTTACGAGCAGCTGCTACATTCTGGTAGAGAGAAAATCGTACTGTTTAGTCGGTAGCCGCGCGATCAATGTACATAAATTTCAACTTAATGCGTAGCAGGCCCTAAAACATCCTGGAATAAATTTTAACATTTGTTGGAAGAAAACTTCGAGTATTAATCAAAGAGGTTTTAACTTAAAATAATCTGCATTTGGCGCGACTAGCCACTGTTCGATCACTCCCTCAATGGTGATAAATAAATTCCTTGACGATTAACGGTAAAATATTACGCTTACAAGTATGTCAAAGATTCCAGGCCATCAAATAATCCAGGAGTAAGACTTCTAATGCTATTATCGTGAAGCTACCTAAATTGATATAGAACCATAAAATAACAACCATTGTGAGTGATACAGCGATCATGAGTAAGGGCCCACTTGAGAAATTATCATCGCCATGCAATATTGTCGTAATTGCCCTGAACGGTGATAACAAAACTTATACACTTTTCCTGCTTCCACTCTGGTGAGCACACAAAATGACACGAGGGCGAGGCTTGGTTGGACGGTTACACCCCAAGCCTCACGATGGTGCATTGTTTTCTTAAATGACAGGAGCAGATTAAAAGTGCTAATACGCACACATAACATATTCGATCAAGGAGGAGATTTAATCGAGGTCGACCGAGGTCCATTAGTATAGTACTTCGATTGTGACGTAAAAAAAAATATATAGCAGAAAAAAGAAGATCTAAAATTTCCTCTCGCTCCTGGAATGGTTGCACAAAAAAAAAGAAAAGGCGAGAATACAGAAAATACACAGATGCAATTTGGTGAGGAATCCCAAAAAAGAAACCAAAAGGCTTATAGATATTGTGCTCCCACCCTGAAAGCTTGGACTCCCAAAAGATTTAGAACAAGGACGCGAGTCGTAAGAAGTCTAAACATTGCCTTGGAGTCTTCAAACAGTACCAGGGACTTAAAAATCTAGCAGCAGCCCTTTTAATATTCTTAACCTTAATTTGAAAGAAGAGCTAATCCCCGGGACAGACAGGATTGACAGGATCGGAACTCATGATCTCTTGGGAACCTGGCGAGCCTTCTAGCCATTGTGATAACCTGTGACAGCAAAAGTCAGTTGTGGCCCGCGTGCTACAACCAGAAACTACTAAGATCTGAATTGTCGGAACATTCTGTCTGGATAATAATTAGAACTGATTTGAACCCTGACTCCTAAAGGCTTTCGATTGGTTCTCTCTTGGAGGCGACGGTGTTTGAAAACCTGTCGGCAAAATTAAATGTATTGCTCCACCGTTACAACACGCTTACAAGTATGATAACGCATTCTCGTAACTTACAGGCTTTGCAAAAAGCTGAGATTCTTAAAGCTCCCAATGTCCAAATGTTTGATATTGTTGCGTCCTAGGTTCCTGTAAAGATTGAGTTTGATGAAAATAGCAGCATAAGTATATTGATTATAACAAATCGTCCAAATAGAGCAGTAAGCGATTTACTCACAGGAAGATTAGGTTCTGCAAGTTCCAGAATGCCTCTCCTGAGATTCCTTTCAGGCTGTTTTTGTCTAAATATCTGCAAATAAAAACTGAAAGTTAAGAGAATTTCTTTTTTTCGAAAGAAAGAGGCTCGCTTCATACCAGAAAATACTTTTTTATAATGAAAGGGCTGGACGACCAATTTCATTCTTAACCAAAAAAGACATGCATGTTTCAAAAAAATAATAATAATATTAAACTGTATTACTACCACTAAAATTTTGTATCGAAGTTACTATTCATAACATCAAACCGGATTTTTTCTGTGGAAGGGAGGCGACTGCACACAGGCTAGGCCGTGATCAGTGACAACAAGGTTATCAACATTCCTTTAACACGTTATGAATGAATATTGGTGTTTACGATCTAAGTAAATTACACTGCGCTTGCGCGAGTTCAACAAAGATGGAGAATGAAAATTTCGAGATAAAAGGAATGTCGGGACAAATTTTATAGGAGCTCGTCATAACATTTCACCAATAAGAGACTGGCTGCCAAACATGCAATCACTTCATCTACTAGCACCAAATGTTTTTTCTTTGACAGTTTTATGTCTATTTGGACTAGGTTTTATACTCACAGATGTCTCGTAGATACCGGAAAACTGGAAGGTACTTGAGTCAGATTTTTCATGGTGCATTTTACAACTTGACCTTTCAAAGGAGTTGTACATGCGCAGATTTGACAAATGGATTTCTCTGAAATTTAAACGCAAACAAAGAATAATTTACTCATTGTTCTCCTTCTTTCGTATCAAAACAGAAGCGTGTGTGTTCCCCAAAGCAGTGTATTAGATGTGAAAGCGAAAATACAGTACATGCAGTTCACGGGTGCAGCTGATTTTAGACAATTAGATCTAGTGGGAACCGGACTTCAAAAAAGGTATACTTTAATTAACTATAAGTTCGGAAAGATTATTCTATTTATATATTACTACACCTTCTTGCCAAAGAAAGCAATTTCATCCCTTCTGTTAACTAGGTTAATTTCCCGCTAACACTTATTCCACTCATTAGACAGTGTACATGAGTATACAAAGAATTAAAAACTGTTATTTTCCCACGGCTAGCATGTTTCACAGCATGCAAGTTTGAAAAATTTGTTCTCAGAACAATGTGGAGTGTTTGTCATCAAGTCTCACAGAAATATTATTCCGTGTATGCAGCCTATTGTGGTGACCCTTAATACATTATTTTCATTGCTAAACTAACTAAGATTAATGAAACGAGTGAAATTAGTATATACTTGTAACTTTGCCGATGGGGTGCATAATTTTCATAACAATCAGCAAAATAACAGAAACGGGAATTTTTAATTCTCTTCTTTTGCCCTTTAACCTTAGTTTTTGCAGAAAAGCGAAGCCTTTCGATTTTTCAAGGTGTCGAGCATCGAAGAAAAAACCATTAAAAGCGACAAGATTTAGAACGGAATTCTTTTCTTTTCTTTTTTCAGCCAAATTTGCTGTTACTGTGCTATTATTTTACCATCAACTGGCAGCAGCCTTGTATGTATATGCTACAAAAAATTGTTATCCCCACTAATTGAGCTTTATACTTCTGGGTTTCGCTTTAAAACATATTTCAAAAGTACTTAATGGTTTATCAGAATTAAAGCGCTATACCTGTTAAGTATAGGCCTAAACTTCAAAACGTGAACCTGCTCAGTAACGGGTTTTGTACAACAATTAGATTATCTTGTCTATTTTACCTACCTTCCATTTTACCCGGAGGTGAAATTACAGTAAGAAAGAAAATTTTGATTAAAAACGTCAATCTTTCATCTTTCATTGCCATTTGTGTACAAAATACGTCTATCTCTGTATGATTATTGATTTCAACTTTTTCCTCTTGTAGCTTAACAGAGTTGTAATTCACCAGTGAATTAATTAAATTAACTTTACCTCCCCTTTTTATCTTCCGTTTGAAAGTTCCAAATCAGGCTTCCCAGGAATCATCATCAGTAACGACACAACGCTTTATCCAATGGCGATGATCTCGAGCCCAAATCTCCCCGGTCACTCCAGGGGCCCATTTCTCAAAAGGCCCTTTAACTCTTCGGTCCCGAGGGCAAACTTTAAAATCAAAACCCGTTAAATAGTAGCACAGTTCATAGCCCACAAACAGGTCAATTTTGCTTCGTTAACTGTTAGTTTCATTGTATTATTTTCAAAATTATTGAAACTTTGATCTTGACTGCATACACGGCACACATAAAACAGCCTTGAGGGCCCGAAAAGTTATTGGGACTTTCGAGAAACGTCTTTCGCCCCAAATATATTATGGTTAAATTAGATTTCTCTGTATTTGGGAGATTTATGATGACTACATTTATACACAGCACTAAGACCATCATGTATAATTTGATAAAAAAAAAGTCCGAATTATATACAGTCAAACCCCATTAACACGGACACTGAGGGGCCATAGAAAAAGTCTGTATCAACCGGATGTCCGTACCTAGCGGGTTGCATTTAAAGAAAGTGTAAGGGCTGGAACAACGAAACCTGTCAATAATAACGAGTTGTCCGTAAAGAGGGGTTAGATTGTATACCCTCAAAAGCCAAAAAAAATACATCTAATACAAGAGGAAATTGAGCCTTCCATTTGCTTTAGCTGTTGTAGGTATTCTTTGGCAGAAATAAAGTGTCTGAAATTTCTGTCTAATTTGCCACTGACATGCTCCGTTGGTATTTATAGTAATTGACTAACAGTGGCAGATGGCTCATATATACTGGAAACAGCAACAACTATTCCAACTACACCAAACTACTCTAAGCAGACAAATCTACGGGATGAAAACAACTCCAAAGTACACTTCCCTCCTTAAAGAGAAATAATGTTGATTTTTCTGTTTAATACAAGACAATTTTAAAAGCCTTAAAAAAATGTCTCAACCGACATTTTACATAGCAACACTAAAGAGGTAAAGGACAAGAACTTCAAATTTTCAGTGATCGGTCAGAAGTTTTTGAATTTCATAAATACTCGAAACCACTTTCATTTTGAATTAATCATTAATGACATGTTTTTTAAGTTTTGTTTGTTGGAAACAATAGAATGACTACACGAAAATACAGTTGAGTTTGTGGGAAAGTATAAGTATAGAAACGAATTTAATTGTCTATTGGCTTGAAAAAGAAATGAAACATGCAGAGTAGCAATTTTTAATTTCTGATTATCAAAAGAACAAAAGGTACACGGACATTTGACATATATATTTAATCAACCATGATTTGTTTTCAGTGTACAATTCTGTTTTCTAGAACGACGGAGTATCTATACAGTAGAAAATTCCTCATTCTTATCTATGCCACTTCCATTCAACATGAGCTCTTGTAATAAGGCTAAATATGCATAAGATTTGGACTCCAGTGAGAACACTTCATCCAAGAAAATTAGCCTTCTTTTTTGGCAGCACCGCCTGGAGAGTTACTTAATGATTTTTGTTATTGAGAGTCAGCACTTCATCGTGACATATTCCTGTACTAAAATTTGATTCTGTGGCATAGGAGAACTTCCACTGTAAAATAAGGGAACGTGAAAACTGGAGTTGTTCATTTCTTGCAAATTTCCTACCTTAAAGTTGCATTTTTGGTAAACGCATCAAAAAATTGTAGACGGGGAAATTTGTTCTTACCCACAAACAAAAAAATAAGAGAAAATGTTTTTTTAAAATCGTATCAATCTCATTACCTTGATTTTCAACTGCCAAACATTTAAGCCTAAGCCTCCAATCTCCCAGAAAAGCAAACATCAACAGCATAGCGAAGCACGAAGCACCTTTCATAGTTCACTTGCTGCAATCGTGTCTGTAAACTAAAAGTATATTGTAAAAAAGGCGTAGGTCGGGTTTAAAATCGATGAACATTAATAATTTATTGCATTATTTTCTGACATTGAATTCAATTTTGCTTTTTAACGCAAGAGATCCACTTTAGAACATATAAAGAGCTAGATATATGTTCATATTTGCAATACTTTGTTCTCTTTCATACCATCACTGAGTTAAACTTTATTCCAGCAGGAATCAGCTGAATCTTCAGTGCTTCTGATTAACAAATGGGTTTCATTTTACCGCGTCTGTTCAGTTACACTTCACAAGATACCGTATCACTTTTAGCTACTTTTAATTGTAATACCAACCCTATAGTAAACTTAAACACCAAATCTAATAACCTGCCGTAAATTTGATAAGTTTTAACGATAATGTAATAACTTATCCCACCGTAAATGTAAATGTATTAATAAACTTCAACAGTAAATTTAATAACACAGTAACTCGCCAATCAATTCAAAACTTCAACATTCCTCCCTCCGGGCAACCCTTGGGAATTGAATTGAATTTTCAAGCAGGTCTGTTCAAATTCCCGTCCAGTTCATTACTCAGGGGCACCCAACGACGGTTTCCTCTTAAGAAATTAGAACACTTTCTAGGCTATCCAGAGTACTTTTAGATATCTAAAAATATATTCTAAGCGGCGCTATAAAGTTTGTATCTGTTCATTCATTCTAGGCCAACCTTGAGTCTTTTCGAAATTTCAAGGGCTTCGGTAGTATTTTCCCGAGAATTTTAGAAGCAATTTAACGTATTACAAAAGGGATAGTTTTCTGATCCCTCTTTCCATCACATTTTTGAATCCGAAAATTTTAGGTTTCCTTTTTTCTATGAAATGTAAAAAATTAAACTGCAGAAAATAGAACGGAATCTATTAGATAATCCTCGAAAATTCTACATGAATGGAAAGTCAGCTAGAAATGTTTAGCCGACCTCAAGTAATAGAAAATTCTAGGCAATATTTGCTTCTCCGATCCGAACCGACATTTTACTGTAAACAGTTGTTGGGTACCCCTGATTACTGACGCTGATGTAGTGGTTAAATGCCCCTCTAAAAAAATATTAAGTAGTTAATTTTTTAAAAAATATATACTTAACATGTATGCTGGGCTGGTGTATGGCTTTTAATGAATGTTCCGTCACCTGGCAGTGAGTCAGGCTTTTTTCTCCCTATCTATCAGGGTCGGCCAGGCAGGGTAGTGGTATACCAGTATACCCGAAAAAAATTCGCCAAAATACCCCAAAATACCCAAAATTCATCCAAATATACGCAAAATTATACCCAGGTATACTTTATACCTGAAATTCAAAGAAAGTGATATACCGAATACCCGTATTTAAGCTCCAATATACCGTATACCCGATTTAAAAAGCCCCTGTATACCGTATACCCAAAAACCCTGGCCGACCCTGGTCTATTATAGTCAATACACTCATTGTAAAGCATCGATATTAGGGTCATGTTTTAAACACGTTTCTTGACTGTTTATAACATGTCCAGCCCGATTTAACCACAAGTGTTTACTGAGTCTTGAGTTTCAGAAATTTTATTAATATTCAAACTGCAAAGTTAATTTTTCTCTTACAAATGTTAACGTCAAAACAGAACATTTAAAAGAGTTCAGTCCATAAAACATGATAAAAGCGTTTAATGAATGGCTGTTGTTTCGTCAGGTAATCAACAATCATATAATCATGGTTAGACACCAAGGCGAAAAAAAATAACATTAAAGATGTTTGTTGATTTGCTTTGCACAATTTTTTTTTAACTGATAACAGATATAACTGACGCTTTCCTCTTGTTATTGGTTAATGTTGTGATCAGAATTATTTGAACAAGATGTATTGCTGAACATGATAAAACTGTTGTTGACGTAGTTAGCACAGAAGCCACTTTTTCAGGGCAGCCATTTGGGTTTGCAACGGTCTTCTTGCGAGCTTTCTTTCTGCATAATTCCTCACATCATACTCAGCATCATTCAATAACTGTTTTTCAGGTTTGAATAAGTTAGTTTCAACGTTTATTACATTTCATTTAGGGTTGTTATTGCATTTAGTTTTGATGCAAAGATAATAGCTAAAACAAAAGAACTAGGAACGTTTCATTGGTCGCTGATGTTCTTACCACAGTTTGACATCTTCAACCTCTGATCTATAACTCAACAGCCTGACTCAACTGAATCACGGCAGATGGCATATCGTTTGTTAAACACATTTCTTCCTATTTGTTAATAACTGATACAACTGATGCTAAATTTTACCCACTACCTTTTCCCAGACGATCAACTACTAGCGTGCGAGTGAAGCCATGAAACAAATTGCTTCTATATATCTGTCTGGTACCTCCAGGATTTTTTAGCAACAGTCTCATTTGAGACATTTACAGTACTAGACCATTCTTTTTCTTTTTAGTGATATTTTCAGTAGAAAAATCCTCTAACAAGCTGCAGTAGATAAAAAAAATCATATGTTACATATGCTGTTTACCTCTTCCCTACTCCCCCTCGCCAACCTCTCCCCTACCTAACATTGTGACATTTAAAATCAGCACACGTGGTAGAAGTTGTTTTCCGTGGTCGGTTAATTTTCTAGATTTCTTTTTGGCCGCCTGCAGCAAAGTTTTCCGGAAGGCATCATTAAGCCTTATGAAGGAACGAGTCTCACGCTTTGCAAAGTCTGCCATCGCCAAATCTGTTACCGTATTTCGTCTCATTTTGGCTAAACGGGTGAAACACTGATCTCGGGCTTAGGGACTCTGCAATAATTATCAGGAGGGGGGGGCCCTAAAACCAGAGGGGGGGGGCATTACATAAAATTGCTGCCAAGATAGGGGGGGCTCAAAGTAAAATCACTCATTTGACGGAGGGGGGGGCCTTAAGTTTTATTCGAAATGTAAATAAAATTAAACGCAATAAAAGATTCTCAATACAGGCATCATGATAGACTGTAACAAATATCAACACGAACAGCTGTTAAACGATTATTGAAAATATTCCATCAAAATGAAAAGCAAATTCACAACTGATCAATTTTAACCCGTCTTCTAATTAATTGAGCTGATCCTATGTAAAGCA